GGAGCCGCTGTGACAGAATGGACGAGCAGTGAGGGGAGAGAGAGGCGCCGGCTGTCAGATCCTGGCCGAGCGTCTCTCTCTCTCTCCTCACTGCTCTGCATTATAGTGACAGCTGCTCCGTCCTCTCCCGCCGCTGGTCCCTTCACGTCTTCTCGGATGCCCGCTGGCATCTATGGGGATAGGTCTCTATCATCTTTGCACATCTGGACAATACAATTTGTCTCCACTCCTCTTTTGCAAAACTTCTCCAGCTCTGTCAGGTTGCATGAGGATTGTAAATGAACAGTTCTTTCCCTAGCCACAAATACTCTGTTGGATTGAGATCTGGACTCTGACTAAGCGATTCCAGGACATTAACACTGTTGTTTTTAAGCCATAGGAAATCTCACCGCTTCAATTTCTTAGCCGCCATCAGGACTCCCCAGATGCTGGTGTAATAGGTGCGTCTCCACCTTGGAATGTAGTAGTATACGAACAGACCACACTATCCAGAGAATTGCAATCCTTCAGACTTTATTAAAATTCACAGCAAATCCAGTATAACAGTGTATAAAAGCAACAAATGCCAGCACGGCACGCCCCCAACCAACTACAACCTCACACATTTTCACCCCTAAGCTTATTCATATGTGAGAGGTTGTAGTTGGTTGGGGGTGTGCAGTGCTGGTATTGCTGTATACACTTTTATTCACTGTTATAATGGATTTGCTGTGAATTTCAATAAAGTCTGAAGGATTGCAATTCTCTGGATAGTGTGGTCTGTTCGTATACTACTACACGAAGTCCTCAATCTCTTTTTCTGCAGCCCGTTATCAATGAACAGGAATCCTCTATACAGAGTGTTCCTGTTCATTTATGACATGTGGATATAGTGTGTTTACTATAACTACAATTATGAATGAACAGGGGATGTAGATCGCTTCCCATTCATTCATAATTGAGGATATAGTAAACATACCATATCCTCAATTATCTACAAACACTCAGTGATCACTGAATGTAGTTACCCACTCTCCTCTCTGAGACGCTGTCACAGGAGGCTGAGCCAGCGGTATAGGGAGGAGAGCTCAGCCAATGTATCGGCAGGAAAATGGCACTTTCGGCATTATGCCAAAAGTGCGATTTTCGGCCGATATATCGCATCCCTATATACTACTACATTCCAAGTCGTTTTTAAGCCGTTCTTGTTTCGTTTGGGCCATCTACCTCATTGGGTCATTACCTCGTTGGAAGAAAATCTATTCCCTAGGTTCAGGTTGCTTGCAGACTGGATCAGATTGCCTTCCTTCTATCCTCTATTTTGCTGTATTCATGTTACGCTACACATACACAATACAAATTCACACAGTGGGTACCACTGTCAGCACCCTTCCACCCGGCATTCCTCGATCAGATAGAAGGAGCAGGTTGGAAAATCCGAATGGAGCTTGCAGCCACTGACCAAATACAGTGCAAACAGCAGAGGATTCATCCATTCACACTGTTCAGCATGGATGGAGGAATCTGTTGGGGTTTTTTTGCCCGCAGGTTGAACGAGAAAAAAAAAAAAAGTGTTTAACAGTTTTTACAAATTTTTCAGGTGCAGCTGTGTAGAAGCATCCACACAACATGATGCTGCA